TCAATAATTAAGAAATGACCTTGTATCTTGTGAACTATTGACATTTTTAAAGATATAAGCTTATCTCGATGTTACACTCCTTGAGAGCTTTCATTTGAATACCCATATCAATTTTTCATATATTTATGTATATTATATATATGTATATAGGAAAAATATATGAAAAATGCATGTGGGTATTCAAATGAAAGCTCTTGACGAGTGTACCATCAGGATGAGCTTATATTTTCAAAAATGTCAGTAATTAAGAAATTACTTTGTATCTTGAGAACTATTGACATTTTTAAAGATATAAGCTTATCTCGATGTTACACTCCTTGAGAGCTTTCATTTGAATACCCATATCAATTTTTCATATATTTCATATATTTATGTATATTATATATATGTATATATGAAAAATATACCAAAAATGCATGTGGGTATTCAAATGAAAGCTCTTGATGAGTGGAACATCAGGATGAGCTTATATCTTCAAAAATATCAGTAATTAAGAAATTACCTTGTATCTTGAGAACTATTGACATTTTTAAAGATATAAGCTTATCCCGATGTTACACTCATTGAGAGCTTTCATTTGAATACCCATATCAATTTTTCATATATTTATGTATATTATATATATGTATATAGGAAAAATATATGAAAAATGCATGTGGGTATTCAAATGAAAGCTCTTGATGAGTGTAATGTCAGGGTGAGCTTATATCTTTAAGACTGTCAATAGTTAAGAAAGTACAGTGCAATTTAACAAAAATAAAAAAAAATTACTTAGTAATCCGACGAAGAATACAAATAACTTCCGGCGACCCAGTAGCTTCCCACCCAAGAGGTAAAAAAGTTCCAATATCAGACTCCATAACCATCTGTAGGTTCTTTTCCTCACTCCTGTACTTCTTAATGTAATAATTAGCCCCAATAATTCCCATTTCCTCCGCAGTCCACATAATAGAGCGAATTGTCCTTTTGGCCTGTAAGCCCAAGCCCTTGAGGAGCAGCACTGAAACCCAGGAAGAAAAAGCGCCGCCTCCGTCGTCCATGGCGCCCTGGCCGACGTCCCAGCTGTCTACGTGCCCGGAGACCACGACAACCTTCTCGGGTTTAGTAGAACCCGAGATCTCCGAGATTAGGTTCCTGGAACGGCCGCTGGCCTTCAGCAGGTGCGCATCCATCTTGATATTGATTCTTAGCTTCTTGCCTCTTTTGGCCAGGCGGCCCAGCAGGTGCGCGTCCTCCACGGTGATACAAGCCGCGGGAATCTTCTTCACTGACTCAGAGTAGGACATCATCCCGGTGTGCGGTGAGTAGATTGAAAATGGGGTGATACTTCTTATCAGGGTCGCCACTGCTCCCAGTTTGGCTGCTTCGATAGCACCACGGCTGCGGTATTCTACTGTTTTGCCATACGAGATGAATTTTTGGTTGTATACTACTATTTTTCCCGGAACCTGGTGAAGAAAAAATTAAAATTATTTAATATCAGTATTAAGGAAGTCCTTTTGCTCCAGTTGAGTCACAACAACTGTAGTAGGGTAAATGCACCAGTTTAGTTGTTGACCGGTCACCAATTAGTTGACCGATGTATAAAAAAAATAATTAATTAATATTTTACAAGGGTTTTTTTTTCTTAAAGTATTAAAATAAAAAAATATGGCATTTAATCATCATAATAAAAAATTACGCAATTAATTGGGCAGTGATTATAGCTTTAAAAAAATATTCTGAGTTTGTTTACAACGCAACCAGCCATAAAGCGGTCAAAAATAACTACCGTACAATTGGAGAGTGAGTGCATTTCATCATTAATTTAGTGATATTTATCGGCATAATATAAAATATTTTAGTTTTATTATGTTAATTAAAGATCAGATTCCAACTTTTTTGAAAAAATAAAGTTAAATTATAAGTTTTAATATTATTTTAAGACCGGTCAACTATTGGATCCGTCAGAATCCCTTTACCCAGTAAAAAATTCATTCGGTCATTTATTAGACCCTCTGATTTTATCACAATCCAATTAATCACCGTATATTTATAATACTATAACTTCTTTACCTCAAAATTAAATCTGTCAAGCGTTTAAAGTACTTTAGTCATTCAATATTTTGTAAATATAAAAATAATCATTATAAAATGTATATTTATAATTAAAATAATACTTAAAATCTTTTTTGATTATTAAATTTTATTTTGTTCTAATTTTTTTAGTGAACGATTATATCAAAGAACGAATTATTAGAAGAAAAAATTGCTAAGCAATTAAAAAAATAAAAAAGAGTTACAAGGTAGTAGAAAAGCTTTAATTGAAAAAAACAAGGAGAAGAATAAAAAAATTTCAAGTGCATCAGAAGAATTATCGTCATCAAAATGAATTTGTGATTATTTGTGACCTAAAGAAATGTGACTTTATGTTAATTATTGCTATTATTTATATCATTTTATAAAAAAGTACGATTTAAAATTATATTGTATGTTTAGTTTTGTTAAAGATGTCGTTAATACTTTAAAAGTACTGCATAAATTTAATTACATACATGTAGTTTACAAAATTAGTTATAATTATCTGAGCGGTGAATTAATTGGAGAACGGTCGGTCATTTATTGGGTTTCTTCGGTCAATAATTGGTGATTTTAGTATTTCAACATTCAAATAACAAAATTAATATAATTTTGTTAATTTTTATTATAAATAGTTATTAATTATTATTAATTAAGTATTTAACTTTAATAAAATCCATTACAAATTATTTTTAGTAGATTTTTATAGCTTAGTACAGAAAAAGAAAAGCCTAATCGGTCAATAATTGGTGCATTTACCCTATATTGTATTTTTGAGCTCGAAGAGCTCAAAAACGTCATTAGTGCAGTTTTATGCACCTAGGTATGGAATTAGCGGGAAGTTGTACGGATGGCCTTCAGGGTCTACCGTTTTTCTAATTTTTTTTTTTAGAACTGAAAATTCCAAAATAAATACTTCAAAATTTTGCCGCGCGGTGACGCTACTTGACAAATTTAATGACGCGTCACTAGATTCTAAAAATTAAATTTAAAAAAAATTCAATCAATTGTTGTTTATTATTATCATCTCTATAACTTTTATGAAACTAAAAAATAAATTAAATTCTTTCACAAGTTCTCTATTAATAATAAAAAAATAAAACTAACCTCAGAAGCACGTTTTTTTAGTTCCTCAAAACTCTCCACAACAATTGCTTCAGCCGTTATCCCGCCAGGTGACGTTCCAGTTCCATTGCTATAACCAAGTCCCAACATCCTTAAATTCTTTTCTCTAGGAGACAACATTGTCGCTGATTCATTTCCTCTAGAATAAAATAATTTTTTTTTTATTAATTAACAAAAATTGAATTAGGTAATCAATACAATTTTTTAAATTAAAATTCAATTTTATTTTTTCTAAAATTAAATTTTATATACCTGATCCATCTCGGAACCGGAACAACATCTCCATGAACATTTTCAAGCCCAAATTCTCTGGACCTCAGCAGAACATGATCAATAGCATCTTCAAGATTCTGCGTTCCCGTGAACCTGGACCCATAATCATCAACAAAATCAGAAAGATCCCTCCAAGTTCTTCCTTTGAAGCTACCATTGGTAGCTTCATTGACTATTCTGTCGACTATCGGCTGGTAGCTGTCGATTTCTTTTATCAAGTCGGGAGATAAAACTCCATCACAACTATCGCTGCTATCTGATAGTCTTTCCACGACTCGGTAGCAATTTATTTGATTTATTTTAATAATTGCTAGGAAGAGATATATATAGATATATGTAAATGTTAATGTCTTCATTTTTGGCTGATTAAATTAATGTCCATCCGAGTATTTTTATTATTATTATTATTATTATTATTATTATTATTATTATTATTTAGAGTACGTTCAATACCGGACGGCAGATTAATCTACACTGAAAAATTGAAAATATATATTTAATTAGAATGAAGAACTCTACTGTGGTATATATGCGTCATACTTATGAGTATCACGTGTCAGAAAATAATTGTGTAAATAAAAACGGAAGAGAGAAATATTTATCTCAAGTTTGCTGATAGATATTATGTTCGATAAATTTTTATTATTTTTTTTTTTTTTTATTAAATTAAACGGCCCTAGAATTTTTTTAACAGTTGCTTGTAAATTTTTAATGAATATAAAGTTAGCCAACATCTAAAAATTATTGTGATTTTTTTTTAATTTTTTTCATTTGTTAAAAACTATAAATGTAATTTTTAAAAAATATTTTTCAGTTATAATTCAATAAAACTTTATTATTATAAGTTATTATTTTTTTTTTTAAATAAAATTTTTATTTAATAATTATAATAATAAAGTTAGCCGACACTTTTGATTTTTTTATTTTGTTTAATTTATTAAATTACAACTAAAAAAATATTTTTAAAAAATAAAAAAATTTTATCTGTATTTTTACAGTGAATTTTCAATTTTTTATTTTTTGTACATACCTTAGATATTTCTTTAAGTAATCATTAATTTTTTTGATAGTAATTTTGAATATAATCTTCATACACGTAACTTACACATTTACAATTCACTTTTTGTTTATTTATTTACATTAATTTACAAGCTAATTAACTACAGTTGGTTTTTAACATGACTCTTAAATAATTGCTACTTTTTTTCGCCACTAGGTGTCACTGTCAGTTAATTCTTATCGGTAACTTTCTCTAGATGGCGTGAGAATAATCTAAAATTATTAATTTTTTTATACTTACTGTCAATAAATTAATAATTTTAATCTCTAAAAATTTGATAGTATTTTTTTAGTTTAATAAATTTTAAATTATTTTTATAACAACAGTGTCATTATGGATCATAAATCAGAACAGCATGAAGAAATTGAAGCACTTGATTCTATTTATTCTGGAGAGTTACAAAGTAAAAATTTATTTATTTTTTTTTATACACATAACCTTTAAAAAAAATTAATTTATTGCATTAAGAATTGTTTTTAAACAAATAACAATTATTATAACAGCTGTCAATTTTTTTAATTTTTATAAAAAGTCTATAAAAATAATAATAAAAATTCTCCTATAATTATTTAAAAAAAAAAATAATTTGTTATGGAAATTTTTAAAATTAACAGCTGATAGTTAATTTAACAATCATCAATTTTATTTTTTATTAATTAAAAAACAATTTGATTAAATATATTAAATTATAGAAAATTTAATTAAATGATTTTATAACAAAAAATTTAATGACACTGAAGTTAGCAGACGTCTAAAAATTTTTGATTTTTTTTTTTTAATTAAATTACAACTAAAAAGATGTTTATAAAAAATTGCACATATAGTTTCTTAAGTTTTTAATATATGATATTTTTTTTTTTAATTATTTAATTGAAATTTTTTTGATAAAAAATTAATAAAAATTTTGAATTGTCAGCTAACTTCATTTTCATAAAATTTAATTAAATATATTTTAATAATAAAAAATTAATTAAAAAAAAATTCTAGTTTTAGAAACAAACCCTCACAAATTTATGCTAACAATAAAAAGCGAAGAATACGAACCCGAGTCAGAAAATGGACTGTCCTGTGACCTGGAGTTTACTTACACAGCAAAGTACCCAGAAGAGCCTCTGGAGATCCGGATTGAAAATCCAGAGAATTTTGAGGACGGAGATGAGGAGAAGCTGCTGGAGCACCTGAAGAAACAGATGGAAGAGAACCTTGGGATGGTGATGGTCTTTACTCTGGTGAGTGCTGCTCAAGAGTGGCTCAATGTACAGTGGGACAGGATCAAGCTACACCGAGAGGAACATGCTGCTAAACAGCTTATTGAAGAGGAAGAAGCTGAGAGAGTAATTTTATTTTTATTTAAAAAAAAATTTTTTTAACTTTTATTTTAAAAAAATTATTTTTAATTATTATTTAAAAAAAATTATTGCTAATTATTATTATAAATTAGTATGAATAAATTTTATTTTGTTTTTTAGAAAAGATTTGAAGGTACCAGAGTAACAGTGGAGACTTTCATGAAATGGAAGGAACAATTTGATGAAGAAATGGGCCATAATAAACGAAGAGAGCTGGCGTTGATTCAGTCGAAAAAGTTAACCGGCAGAGAAATGTTTATGACTGATAAAACTTTGAATGAATCTGATCTCAAATTTTTGGATGAGGGTAATTTATTTTTTAATATTAAAAAAAGAATAAGAAAAATTTTGTGTCCAGGATACATAATTAAGAAATGACTTTGTGTCTTGTGAACTATTGACATTTTTAACGATATAAGCTCATCCTAATGTTATACTCATCGAAACCTTTCATTTGAGTACCCACATCAATTTTTCATATATTTTATATATTTATATATATATAAATATATCAAAAATATATCAAAAATGCATGTGGGTACTCAAATGAAAGCTCTTGATGAGTGTAACATCAGGATGAGCTTATATCTTTAAAAATATCAGTAATTAAACAATTACCTTCTATCTTGAAAACTATTGACATATTTCAAGATATAAGCTCACTTCAACATAACACTCATGAAGACCTTTCATTTGAGTACCCACATCAACTTTTCATATATTTTATATATATTATAGATAATATATATGTATATATAAAAAATATATCAAAAATGCATGTGGGTACTCAAATGAAAACTCTTGATAAGTGTAACATCAGGATGAGCTTATATCTTTGAAAATGTCAGTAATTAAGCAATTACCTTGTATCTTGAGAACTATCGACATTTTTCAAGATATAAGCTCATCTCGATGTTACACTCATCAAGAGCTTTTATTTGAGTACCCACATCAATTTTTCGTATATTTTTCATATTTATATATATTATAAATATATGTATATATGAAAAATATATCAAAAATGCATGTGGGTATTCAAATGAAAGCTTTTGATGAGTGTAACATCAGGATGAGCTTATATCTTCAAAATTATCAATAGTTAAGAAAGTACAGTAGATTTTAACAAAAGTCATTATTTAATTTTTTTTTAACAATGATCATAATAACTTAAATATGTTATTCCAGGTGATGCAGTTAAAGTTGATGAAAGTTTATTCCAAAATCTCGATGACCTGGACCTCAATGATAACGACTCAAACGATGACGATTCTTATAGAATTGAGCCAGTAAGAGAGTATATAGATCCTGTTAATTAAATTTTTTAGGTGTATTAATCTTGTTTCTTTTTATAAAATTGTACAATAAAAAAAAATTCAACTTAACTCAGGCAAGTATTTTTTAATAATTATTTATTAAAAAGCTCAAACCCAAAATTCAGAAATAATAAATAAATATATAACGACAATGAAAATGATAATTTATTAAATGTTATACATAAATCGCTTACAATATTACTTATCAACATTATATACTTTCATTTGAAACATTATTTTTTCTTAATTAAATAATAAACATATTTAATTAATGTATCTTATAGATGGCAGTTTAATAATATAAATTATTCAAATTATTTTTTCGATGTAAATATAATACCAATTTACCGTAAAAATACTAGAGATGTCTATTGTTAATAAATCAACATAAATATTAATACTGTAAATGTAATTGTAATTAGTAGAAATATATTATAGTAATTTTTTTTTTCTCAAAACTATTAATTGGAAGATAAGATATTTAATTTTTAAGTTTTTAAGTACAACACTCGGAACAATTCTTTAAATCCACACGTTAATTTTGTATTAATCATCCTTAATATTATATTATTATTATTATTATTATTAATAATAAATAATGGCGAATGGAGATAATAAATTATCTAATTTCATCATGGCCTCTATGTTTATAATCTGTTGGAAAAAAAAAAATATTAGATTAAATTTACAAAAAAAAATTGTTTTTTTTTTTAATTAATTGTTAAGTTTTGATTAATTGAGAAAAAAATAATTCAAAAACGTGCAAATTAATTAGCAACGCTATTTGGTTAACTATTTTAAAGACAGTCTTGAGTTAAAAAAAAAAAAAGTAACATAGTACTTATATAAATGTATTTGGAGATAGTAGAGTTAAAGATGTTTTAAATTATGCCGAATTTCAATATCGTCTCTGGAAAAATATTATAGAAAAAAAAGAAAAATATTTGAGTATAATAAATAAGCAGAAGCGTATTTACCTTGTATCTTGTGAACTATTGACATTTTTGAAGATATAAGCTCATTATGATGTTACACTCATCGAGACCTTTCATTTGAGTACCCACATCAATTTTTTTCATATATTTTATATATTTATATATATTATATATAATATATATGTATATATAAAAAATATATCAAAAATGCATGTGGGTACTCAAATGAAAGCTCTTGGTGAGTGTAACATCAGGGTGAGCTTATATCTTTAAAAATGTCAGTAATTAAGAAATGACCTTGGATCTTGAGGACTATTGACATTTTTAAAGATATAAGCTCATCCCGATGTTACTCTCATTGAGACCGTTCATTTGAGTACCCACATCAATTTTTCATATATTTTATATATTTATATATATTATATATGAAAAATATATCAAAAATGCATGTAGGTACTCAAATGAAAGCTCTTGGTGAGTGTAACATCAGCATGAGCTTATATCTTAAAAAATGTCATTAATTAAGAAATTACATTGTATCTTGTGAACTATGACGTTTATAAAGATATAAGCTCATCCTTACATTACACTTAGCAAGAGCATTCATTTGAATACCCACATCAATTTTTCATATATTAATATATATTACATATATGTATATATGAGAAATATATCAAAAATACATGTGGGTACTCAAATGAAAGCTCTTCATGAGTGTAACATCAGGATGAGCTTATATTTTAAGAAATGTCAATGTTTAAGAAAATACAGTGCAATTTAACAAAATTTAGTATTTAATCAATCAAAATTCTAATTATTTATAGTTCACAAGTGACGGCAGTCACATGGTGACTGCAAAGTTGCTAGATTATATAATTAAAATATAAGCATAAGACAGTTGTAATCATCAAGCAAGACAGATTATTTGTGCTAGTTCCAGGAAATTCCGACAGGTGGCGCTGAAGACAGTTCTTCTCGCACGTGGTAGTCTGACTTGCTTAAAAATGATTGTAAGTGATGAAAATAAATAAATAACTTACTTTTCAGGTAAAACTCGAGGCTCTGCATAATGTCCGGGCCACTCATATATATTTGGTAGCGGACTGTCGTAATTTGCATTGTACATTTTGCTTATAATAAAAGCTCTTTTGTCTTTAGGTTCAGGGTACTCGCTAGCTAACCCGCCTACAGAAAAAAAATTCCATATTTATTGATGAATATTAAATTACTTATTTCATTGATCATTTAATTGTTAGTTATGTTTTATAACTAGTACTTACATTGGCCGTACGCGTACTCGGCAATCCGTACGGCTATGTCGATAGAGCACTCCTTTATAGATCCGAGTGGTGGGTAGACACTTCCACGAGCTAGGTCTTCATCTGATACGTGGTCAGCGACGGTTTGCGCGGAAATTAGGAACAGTTCCTCGGTAATATGGTGGACTCCTGTGCCTATTACACCCAGAGCGATGCCTGGGAATATGTATGCGTTATTTCCTTGTCCGGGTTTGTAGACTGTTCCATTGTGGGTCACTTCGCCGAACGGAGAACCAGAGGAAAATATACAGCGGCCCTGAAAATATAAAAAAATATTAATTAAAATTGAAATTTTGGTGGGTTAATGTTGTGGTTGCGAGAGGAACAGTCAGTGGCGCCATCTAGTGGACTGGAACCAATCTAAAACACATAGTGGCACTATCTATAGGTTTGGAACCGAACTAGAACATATAGTGGCACCGTCTAAAGGCTAGGAACAATATTGGAACCTATAGTGGCGCCATCTAGTGGATTGGAACCGAACTAAAGTTATTAAAAATGCCACCTAGTGAACTAGAACCGAACTAAAACATAGTGGCGCCATCCAAAGGTTCAGAACAGCATTAAGAACCTACAGTGGCGCCATATAGTGGATTGGAACCGAACTAAAGTTCTTGAAAGTGCCATCTAGTGGACTGGAACTGTACTAGACGTATTGTAACGCCACTTTTAGACTCGTACCGAACTAGAATATATAGTGGCGCCACCTAAAGAATTGTAGCAACATTGGAACCCACTGTGGCGCCATCTAGTGGATTGGAAACGAACTAAAGTTCTTGAAAGTGCCATCTAGTGGAATGGAACTGTACTAAAATATAGTGAGGCCATCTAGAGGCTTGGAACCGAACTAGAACATATAGTGGCGCCACCTAAAGACTAATAACAACATTGGAACCCACTTTGGCACTGTCTAGAGGATTGGAACCGAACTAAAGTTCTAAAAAGTGTCATCTAGAGAATTGAAACTGAATTAAAAGGTATATTGGCACCATCTAGAGGATTGGAACAGTACTAGAGCTTACATTGGCGCCATCTGGCGGATTGGAACCGAACTAAATTCTTAAAAGTTCCATATAGAGGATTGTAACCGAATTAAAAGACATAGTGGCGCCAGCTAGAAAATTGGAACCGAATTGAAAGGTATAGTGGCGCCATCTAGTGGATTGGAATCGAACTAAAATTTTTTTTTTTTTTCAGCTAATAAGAATAAAAATTACCTCAGTATAATCATAAGCCTGTTGTGCAGTACATTCAGCTTTACTTGTAGGATTACTTAAAGCAAAAATTAAAGGTCGTTCATTATTTTTAGCCATTTCTTGCAAAACTTCTGGTGTGAAAGCTCCCGCAGCTGCTGATGCACCTGAATAATTATTATTAATTACAAAATAAATTAAATTGATATCTTGCATTATTAAAATATAAAAATAAATATAATCTACCTATTAAGACAGTAGGCTTTATTTCCCTGACAAGATCAATAAGCGACTTAACGTCTTGGTGAATTTTGGCGTACCACTTTTTATGACCATCAAGATTGCCAACTTTTCGGCCTTCTGTCAGCAACCCATCGATATCCATCATCCAAACTTTGTTCCTAGCCTCTTCTTCTGTGCAGCCGTCGGCTTCCATTGCTTTTACGCACAAATCTGCTATTCCTATTGCAGCCTAAAAATTTATTTTTTTTAATATTAATATTAATTTATTTAATAAAAAAATTTTTTTTGTTTTACCTCACCAGCACCCAAAAACACAAATCTATTATCGGACATTTTTCTCTTGGTAATACGTTTGGAGGCCAAAATTCCAGCAACCGCGACTGCTGCAGTTCCTTGAATGTCATCGTTAAATGTACAGTACTTGTCTCGGTACTTGTCTAAGAATCTGAAGGCATTGTGATTTCCGAAATCTTCAAACTAAAAATTTATAACATCAATTTTCATATATATTATATATATATATATATATATATATGTATTATATGAATATTTAATTTTTGGTTTTAATTAAAATAAAATTATTGACCTGAATTAGGACATTTTGTCCGTATTTCTGGACACAAGCAGCCATAAACTCGTCAATGAGCTCATCGTAATCAGCTCCCTGGCTCCTGGGTTTATTTAGACCAATATAGTGAGGGTCGTCGCGCAATTGCTCGTTATTAGTTCCGACATCGATGGTAATTGGTAGACATTGGTGAGGCTTTATTCCGGCCAAAGCAGTGTACAGAGCTAATTTACCAACGGGGATTCCCATACCGCAAGCTCCCAGGTCACCGAGACCTAATATACGCTCCCCGTCTGTCACACAGATCGCACGGACTGATTGTTCCGGCCTGATAATATTTAAAAGATTATTATGTATCTTGAGAATTATTGAAATTTTTTAAGATAAGCTCATCCTGATGATATACTCATCGAGACCTTTCATTTGAGTACCCACATCAATTTTTCATATATTTTATATATTTATGTATATTATATATATGTATATATGAAAAATATATCAAAAATGTATGTGGGTACTCAAATGAAAGCTCTTGATGAGAGTAACATCAGGATGAGCTTATATCTTTAAAAACGTCAATAGTTAAGAAATTACATTGTACCTTGAGAACTATTGACATTTTTTAAGATATAAGTTCATCATGACATTACACTCATCAAGACCTTTCATTTGAGTACCTACATCAATTTTTCATATATTTTATATATTTATGTATATTATATATATGTATATATGAAAAATATATCAAAAATACTTGTGGGTACTCATACGAAAGGTCTCGATGAGTGTAATGTCGGGATGAGCTTATATCTTTAAAAATGTCAATAGTTAAGAAAGTACAGTGCATTTTAACAAAATTAATTAATTATTTATTATTATTATTATTAAATCCGCAAAGTTCTCCGTTGTTAATAATAATAATTTTTTATTCTAGTAACTAATTCAAATTATCAATAAAAAATACATACCAATTATTTAAAATTTCATAAATATGTCCTTTATCATAACAAGTAATAAACAATCCCCTCGGTCTTCGATAAATAACCCCGAATTTCTGACACGCAAGGCCAACAGTAGGAGTGTAGATAATTGGCATCATTTGTTCGATATTCTCGCTCAGCAATCTGAAGAATAACCGCTCATTCCTCTCCTGTAAAAATAATTCAGTCAACCCTCCATACTAATAATTCTTACTATTGCTAATTATTATTATCATTAATATTAATAATATCATCAAATAAAAATAATCTTTAATATTATTTAGCATGACATTAACAAAGCGTAATTACTGGCAAGAGCCGGTCAGTTTCACCTGGAGCTCCACGAGGTAGAGGTACCGGTTCAGGTCCTCTGTGTATTTCATCACAGAGGCTTTACACAACGCCAGCTGCTCTTCCTGGGTCTTAAATCTCGGGGGTTGTAGTCCGTGGATCCCCAAGGCTATTCGCTCTTTCAAGGTAAACGCCAATCCCTAAAAAAAAAAAATTATTAAATAATAAAATTATTAATGCATAAAAATTCTTGGTATCATATCAAAAATTTACTCAAGGTCTATTTATTATATTCATAATTTTATTTACTCATGACATTGTTTTAATACCCTATTTATTTTTATCCATACCACGAAAAATTATCTTAATAATAAATTATATTTTTATTTATTCTATTTATTTATACTAAAAAAATTTATTTTTCTAAAAATAAATTTTCAAGCCAAAAGTGTGTTAAATTTAATACTTAATAATTTTATTTTTAACATCATTAATTAATTTAATTTATTTTTTAATCAATCAATACTATTAAAACCAACAATTTAACAAAAAATTACATTTTAATTAATTGTAGTTTAATTATAATTTAAAAATAAATCTTAAAACTGGTAATTTTAGATCAGCTGTTAGACCTTCGCCATTTTCTATTTTGTATATTAAAAATTGACTACAATTAAATTTTTAAGTGGCGCGAAATTTAAAAATTCAAAAAATAAATTTTTAAATCAAAAGTGTGTTGTATTTATTACTGTATAATTTTTTATTAACATTGATAATAAATTTAATTTTTTTTTTAATAAATTAATACTATTAATACCAACAATTTTCTAAAAAATTATATTTTAATTAATAGTATAGTTTAATTGTAATTAAAAAATAAATCTTAAAACTGGTAATTTGAGATCAGCTGTTAGACCTTTGCCATTTTCTATTCTATATTTGATTTAATTTTAAAGTGGCGCGAAATTTAAAAATTAAAAACATAAATTTTTAAATCAAAAATGTGTTGTATTTAATACTTTAATTTTTTATTAACATCATTAATTAATTTAATTTATTTTTTAATAAATCAATACTATTAATACCAACAATTTTCCAAAAAATTACATTTCAATTAATAGTAGTTTAATTATAATTTAAAAATAAATCTTAAAACTGGTAATTTAAGATCAGCTGTTAGAAAATCGCCATTTTCTATTTTGTATTCAATTAAATTTGAGTGGCGCGAAATTTATAAAATTCAAAAAATAAATTTTTAAAATAAAATTACAAACTATTGAATTAAAATTAATATTCTTAATAAATTCTCTATTTTACGACTTAGTTTCTTGTTTTAAACCGCATTCCGTCCAATGACCCGGCAAAATTAAATTTTATTTCTTGTACCGTTATTAAAATTACTTAACCAAGATAAATTTTTACAATAAAATTTACAACTCTTCTTAAAAAATTATTTAATTTATTCTTGACCTCTTTTCCAAGATATAGAAAAAATAATTATAATTAAAATAGGTATTTACTTTATTAAGGCGTGGGTCTCTAAGGTGACCAATACCCTTGACCATATTGATAGGCACAACGTCCCCGGATATTTCATAAATTTCTCTGTGCTGGACGTCTTTAGTCGCTGGGTGCGATGGAGGAAGTACTCGAGTCCACGCTCCATTTCTCGTAGAACTGAAAATTAAATTAATAATAATTTTATTAACATGAAAAATTACAATTAAAAAATTCCCACAATAATTTTATAATTTATACATTGTTTATTTTTATGAATTAATTTATTAAATTGACTAACTAGTTCCGTACGTAGCTTAACATCCGGAAATTCATTGATGTATTATATAGAAACAGTCAAGTATGTTCGATTACGTTAATTGAAGTACTGAACTAGTGCATAAAATTAACCTGATATTTATCTATTGTTTTGTTTTTTATTATAATTATTTTTAATGCAAAATTTTTTTTTTATAATGATAAGATTAGTATGATATAATATCGACACTAGTCTAGATTCTAGTCAAGGTTGGAGTATAAATACAGAAGTATTGAATTTTAATCAATAATAATAATAATTTTAATTTTTAATAATGAATTTTGTTAAATTGCGATGTACTTTCTTAACTATTGACATTTTTAAAGATATAAGCTCATCTCAATGTTATACTCATCAAGAGCTTTGATTTGAGTACCCACATGCATTTTTGATATATATTTCATATACACATAATATATATAAATATATGAAAAATTAATGTGGGTACTCAAATGAAAGGTAAGTATATCATCAGGATGAGCTTATATCTTTAAAAATGTCAATAGTTTTTAAGATACAAGGTCATTTCGTAATTGCTGACATTTTTAAAGATATAAGCTCATCCCGACATTACACTCATCGAGACCTTTCATTTGAATACCCACATCAATTTTTCATATATTTTATATATTTATAGATATTATATATATGTGTATATGAAAAATATATCAAAAATGCAAGTGGGTACTCAAATGAAAGCTCTTAATGAGTATAACATCCGGATGAGCTTATATCGTTATAAATGTCAATAGTTAAGAAAGTACAGTACACTAACAAAAGTCATTATATAATTAAGCAAAATTTTATTTATTATAGTTTGTAATTGTTGACAGTCACATAGTGACTGCAGGTTGCTAGTTATTATTAATATTATTATTATTATTATTACTAAAAGCTTTGAAATTTTTCATTAATGATAATAATAATAACAACATTAATAATGATAATAATAATTAAGAAATGACCTAGTATCTTGTGAACCATTGATATTTTTAAAGATATAAGCTCATCCCGATGTTACACTCATCAAAAGCTTTCATTTGAGGCCCCACATGCCTTTTTGATATATTTTTCATATATACATATATATAATATACATAAATATATAAATATATGAAAAATTGATGTGGGTACTCAAATGAAAGCTCTCGATGAGTATATCATCAAGATGAGCTTATATCTTTAAAAATGTCAATGGTTCACAAATACTAGGTCATTTCTTAATTATATATCTTGAAGACGAAATTTTTCTTATTCTCTTAATAATATAATAATAATGTCCTATTAAATTAAAATAAATCTCATCAAAACTTTTAAATACTAAAAACTTATAATATAAATTTATAAAATTTTATAAATCACTAAATTTAACATTGAAATTTTTCCTCATACTTTTTTTTATCCTCGCTATAAATAATAATGAGATAATCTAAGGAAAACTATTACACATCTATACCTATATTCTTTTACAAACATTAAATTTTTTATACTAACACACAAAATATCATTATTATTATTATTATTATTATTATTATTATTATTATTATTATTATTACTATACTAAGGAGAACGCATGTCCTTGGCCTCCACATAATTCACGATCACGATCAATACCACCAAGATTAGATGTGTAATACCACACTATAAATAAAATAAATAAAATATAACTTAAGAGTAAGATAATCTATTATATACATTAATTTCTCCTTATCTTATAAACATAAACATTTTGTACATCAACCACAAAAATAATAATTTTCTTTTATATATTTTCTAAATCAATCTTATGAATATCTAAACTATTAAATTACATGATATTTTTTTTTTATTAATTAAATTACAACTAAAAAAATATTTATGAAAAATTGCACTTATAGTTTTTCAAGTTTTTTACAAGTGCAATTTTTTTTTTAATTGTTTAATTGAAATTTTTTCAATAAAAAATTTCGAAATGTCGGCTAACTTCATTTTTATTACATTACCGGCTTCGGATCATCTTATTATATTTATTATTTAATTATTACATATATATATTGATTTTAAACGGTCATATATGACATAATAATAATAATAAAATAAAGCATGCATGCATTGTAAAAGTTAGCACAAGTTAGGTTCTATTTTAAGTTAAATGATACTGAAAATAACCCTCGACAATCTAATAATTTAACAATATAACACTTTTAATATTAATGTAAACAAATTAAATATTTAATATACAATTTTTAAATTAATACATTATTAAAAAATAATTACTTTTTTTTTTCACAGTAAAATTTGACAATTTAATTTTTTTAAACAAAATTACATTTATTTTTTTAAATAAAAAAATCAAAAATTCAATATTTTTTTTTTTAAATGACAAGTAATTAAAAATAACAATTAAATTGTAATATTAAAAAAACATAACTTACAGTATAGACCTCTGAAGAATGAACATTTTGTCCCAGTCCCAGCTGATCGGGCTTCACCTCTTACCTCTTTACACACAAACCCGGTTCTACTCTATTACACTCTGTGCTAATGCCTGCTGTTATGTTGGAGTATTCGGACCACGCGTGCGACTGCGCTTCAATGTGCTATGCTTGCTATGCTGCCTGGAGTTACTTAATAATTTTGTCATAAGTGTGTAAGTATATTTATACACATGTCATATGTGTAATTTTTAGTGACACTCTTATAATTGTATGACATGCGCATACGTATTTTATTTTTTACTTTAATAATTCAAATCTAAAATAAAAAATGAATTTAATATTAAAAATCATCAAAAAAAAAAAAAAATATAATGAAAATTAAGTTAGCCGACATTTAAAAACTTTTAGAATTTTTTTTATTGAAAAAATTATTACAAAAAAATTTTTCACTTGTGTAAAACTTCAAAAACTGTAAGTGTAATTTTTTAAAAATATTTTTTTGTTTTAATTTAATTATTAAAAAAAATTACATTAAAAAATTTATAAATTTTTTATTTAAAAAATTATGACAGAAAATTATTGTTATTTTTTGTAAAAGTTAATTATAATTAAAAAAATAAAATTAAAATTAATTATAATTATAATTATAATTTTAATCATTCTTTTACTTACTTATTTATTACACAAAAAATCTTAACTGATATTTTATTTATTCAATTTTTAACTGTAGCGGCCATTTTGAAAAAAAAAACACAACTAGCGCCACCAGTCAGTTATTTTAGAAACTAAATTCAAAGTAAAACTGACAGTTGGAAAAAATTCTAAAATTTTAAATAAAGTGACAAGTGTCATTAATTTTTTAGTTTTTCTTTTAATTAATTTAATTAAAAAAGATTTTATAATTATTTTTAATTTATTTATTAAAAAAATTTATTTAAAAAAAAATGTCTTGCGCATGCGCACAAAAAACTAAATCAATAACCTTAAATTTCAATGTTCAGGTTGACGTTGGAGACAATCGTCCAAACAAAACAAACGCAAGCAACAAAGTAAAGTCCAATAAAATGTCAGTGTCCTGGATTTCCTGACTCCTGGTCCTGCTAAAAGGTAATTTAATAATTATTAAATAATGGTACTAAAGTTAGCAGACATTTGTCATCAATTTTTTTTAATAATTATAAAAAAAATATTTTTTAAAAATTTGTACTTATAATTTTTTTATAAAAAAAAAAAATTTGACATAGAAAATTTAAAAAAATTCTAAATTTAATTTTTAAAAATATTTTTTTAATTATAATTTTTATTAATTATTAATTATAAAAATTGAAAATTGTAAAATGTCGGCAAATTTTACAATTATTTTTTTTTTTATTTCTAGATGTAGAATTTTTGTATTAAAAAAAAAAAAAATAATAATAATAATAATTATAATTATAAATAATAATTTTTTTATAAAAAAAAAATTAAAAGAATAAAATTTATGACACTGAAGTTAGCAGACGTCTAAAAATTTTTGATTTTTTTTTATTAATTAAATTACAACTAAAAAAATTTTTCTAAAAAATTGCACTTATAGATTTTTAAGTTTTTTACATGTGACAATTTTTTTTTAAGTTTTTTTTAATTTAATTTAATAAGCTAACTAATTTTCATAAAAATTTGACATGTAAAAAATTTTAAAAATATTTTTTTAATTAAAATTTTAATTAATTAAAAAAATTAACAATTGTAAAATGTCTACAATTGTAAATTTAACTTGTAGAATTTTTTAATTAAAAATATTAATAATAATTATGAATAAAAACAGAAATTGAAGAGAGATGTACCGGTACGTTTGGTCGCTGGTCTGCTGGTACCTGAGGCCGATAATAAAGTGGTTCCTCCGGCAGACGACGTCGATGTGTGAGCTCCAGAGGATTTGCTACGGTGAGCCCTCGGGGGCCAAAAGAACACTCGCAGTCGAGAATTCCTTGTACCAGTCCCGGAACCCGGAAATCAAAGCGTTGGTAATTACTCTTGACGAGCTGACCGAGCGTAGGGGTTTCAATGCCAAGACTGAGAGGAAGGTCCTCGAGGACGCCATCAGGACTGTCCTGCTGGCCAAGAAAATTAATCCTGTAGCGCACCCTGATTTCGCCAAGACCTTCGGCAAGTGCGTCGAGCTGATCTGGGGGTACAGGCAGCTGGTATTTGAAATTGAGGAGCTCAGGAAAACTGGGTATGATTCTAGTAATCCGGAGCATGAAGTGATCCTGCTTAAGCTATGGAATCTTTTGAAGCCTGATGAACCTCTTGAGGCTAGGGTTACTAAGCAGTGGCAGGATATTGGCTTTCAGGTAAATTTTTTTATTTTCATTTGTTTAATAATCTATGTTACTAAGAGGATAAGAATAATTATAAATAATAATTTTTTTATAAAAAAAAAAAAATTAAAAGTCAAATTTATGACACTGAAGTTAGCAGACGTCTAAAAAATTTTTGAGTTTTTTTTTATTAATTAAATTACAACTAAAAAAATTTTTCTAAAAAATTGCACTTATAGATTTTTAAGTTTTTTACATGTGACAATTTTTTTTTAAGTTTTTTTTAATTTAATTTAATAAGCTAACTAATTTTCATAAAAATTTGACATGTAAAAAATTTTAAAAATATTTTTTTAATTAAAATTTTAATTAATTAAAAAAATTAACAATTGTAAAATGTCTACAATTGTAAATTTAACTTGTAGAATTTTTTAATTAAAAATATTAATAATAATTATGAATAAAAACAGAAATTGAAGAGAGATGTACCGGTACGTTTGGTCGCTGGTCTGCTGGTACCTGAGGCCGATAATAAAGTGGTTCCTCCGGCAGACGACGTCGATGTGTGAGCTCCAGAGGATTTGCTACGGTGAGCCCTCGGGGGCCAAAAGAACACTCGCAGTCGAGAATTCCTTGTACCAGTCCCGGAACCCGGAAATCAAAGCGTTGGTAATTACTCTTGACGAGCTGACCGAGCGTAGGGGTTTCAATGCCAAGACTGAGAGGAAGGTCCTCGAGGACGCCATCAGGACTGTCCTGCTGGCCAAGAAAATTAATCCTGTAGCGCACCCTGATTTCGCCAAGACCTTCGGCAAGTGCGTCGAGCTGATCTGGGGGTACAGGCAGCTGGTATTTGAAATTGAGGAGCTCAGGAAAACTGGGTATGATTCTAGTAATCCGGAGCATGAAGTGATCCTGCTTAAGCTATGGAATCTTTTGAAGCCTGATGAACCTCTTGAGGCTAGGGTTACTAAGCAGTGGCAGGATATTGGCTTTCAGGTAAATTTTTTTATTTTCATTTGTTTAATAATCTATGTTACTAAGAGGATAAGAAAAATTTTGGCTCCAGGATACATAATTAAGAAATTAGCTTGTATCAGGAGAACTCTTGACATTTTTAAAGATATAAGCTCATCCTGATGTTACACTTATCGAGATCTTTCATTTGAGTACCCACATCAATTTTTCATATATTTTATATTTATTTATATATATGTATATATGAAAAATATATCAAAAATGCATGTGGGTACTCGAATAAAAGCTCGTGATGAGTGTAACATCGGGATGAGCTTATATCTTTAACAATGTCAGTAATTAAGAAATGACCTCATATCTTGGGAACTATTGACATTTTTTAAGATATAAGCTCATCCTGATGTTACACGCACCGAGACCTTTCATTTGAGTACTCACATCAATTTTTCATATATTATATACATTTGTATATATTTATATATATGTATTTATGAAAAATATATCAAAAATGCATGTGGGTACTCAAATGAAAGCTCTTGATGAGAGTAACATCGGGATGAGCTTATATCTTTAATAAATGTCAGTAATTAAGAAATGACCTTGTATCTTTAGTACTATTGATATTTTTAAAAATATGAGCTCGTCATGATGTTACACTCATCGAGACCTTTCATTTGAGTACCCGAATCAATTTTTCATATATTTTATATATTTGTATATATTATATATATGTATATATGAAAAATATATAAAAAATGCATGTGGGTACTTAAATGAAAGCTCTTGATGAGAGTAACATTGGGATGAGCTTATATCTTTAAAAATGTCAGTAATTAAGAAATGACCTTATATCTTGAGAACTATTGACATTTTTTAAGATATAAGCTCATCCTGATGTTACACTCACCGAGACCTTTCATTTGAGTACCCACATTAATTTTCCATATATTATATATATTTGTATATATTTATATATATGTATATATGAAAAATATATCAAAATGCATGTGGGTACTCAAATGAAAGCTCTTGACGAGTGTAACATCAGGATGAGCTTATATCTTTAAAAACGTCAATATTTAAGATAGTACAGTGCAATTTAACAAAACAATTGAAATTCCAGGGCGACGATCCAAAGACAGATTTCCGAGGCATGGGAATCCTCGGCCTAGAGAACCTGGTGTTCTTCGCAGACGAGTATCCAATAGCAGCTCGCCACGCATTATTACACTCGGTGCACCCGAGATACGGCTACGCGTTCGCGATAGTCGGGATCAACATCACCAGTATGGCCTGGAGGCTGCTCCGGGACGGAGCAGCCAAAACCCACGTCTACAATTCCTCAAAGACTCTCCCGGGAGTCCGTGCCTTTCACCAGTTCTTCAGCTACCTCTTCTACGCGTTCGACGAGTTCTGGATCGAGAGCAAGCCCACCAATATGATGGAGTTCTCTTCTATATCCCAGAAATTCGAGAACAGCATCCGCACTGCACTCGCTAACCCTGCGACTGTCTTTCGGCTCAATCCCAGTCTCGACAAAATTTAGTGACAATTTCTTTTAAATTTATTATTATTTACAAGGCCAATATTATTGCCATAATTTAAAAAAATTATTTATTAATTTAAATTTATGGCAAAAATTTTGACTCTAATTTTATTAATTAAGTTTAAAAATTAAAATATAGTTAGGTAAGATTTTTTATTTATTTTTTAGAGGCTCTTTTAATTATATTAATTTTTAAGAGTCGAATTAAATTATTTAAAGCTGGTTATTAATTTTAATTTTATATTTTAAATTTTGATGTAAAAAATTTTCATTTTTTTAATTTAATTTTTAAAAATTAAATTTAATATTTTTTTTTTCTGTTAATTAAAATTTTATATAATTTATTTTAAAATAAATATATTAATATTAATTTTTTCTACCAGCTCTAAAAAAAAAAAAAAATAAATATAAAAAAAAGCACGTAAAATTTTTACACCGCAAGCGCTTAGACAATTTTTGCATAATTATAATTAAATTAAATTAAATTGAAAAAAAAAGTTTATTGACTTTGCTTAGGACAATTTAATTATTTAAATTAAATGTCATTCCATTATTTATAATAAAAATAAATTAAGGAATAATAATAATCACAATGACGTATAATAAAAATTATAAATTTTTATTTTTACAAACGAAATTTTCTTATAATTGTAAATGGAAGATAGGAAAATCACATTGCTTGATTATTAATTTAATAAATTAATAAATAAATTATCAATTATTAATTTATTTATTTATCTTTCTTCTTAGTTGCTGGTGTTTCAGTTTTGTTTCGAAGTTTTGAGACTACTGAGACAATAACTAAAATGCAAATTATCATGCTTCCTAGTTTCATTATCCAGGGATTTTCTCTCAGAGTGTTGGCGATCATTAAGGTCAAGTCGTCACTAGAATAAAAAGAGAATTATTTTATTATTTATATTATTAAGAGAACAAGAAAAATTTTGTCTCCAGGATACATAATTAAGAAATGACGTTGTAGCTTGTGAACTCTTGACATTTTTAAAGATATAAGCTCATCCTGATGATATACTCATCAAGACCTTTCATTTGAGTACCCACATCAATTTTTCATATATTTTATATATTTATATATATTATATATATATGTATATATGAAAAATATATCAAAAATTCATGTGGATACTCGAATGAAAGGTCTCGATGAGTGTAACATCGGGATGAGCTTATATCTTTCAAAATGTCAGTAATTAAGAAATGATCTTGTATCTTGAGAACTATTGACATTTTTAAAGATATAAGCTCATCCTTATATTACACTCATCGAGACCTTTCATTTGAGTACTCACATCAATTTTTTATATATTTTATATATTTATATATATGTATATATGAAAAATATATAAAAAATGCATGTGGGTACTCAAATGAAAGCTCTTGATGAGTGTAACATCATGATGAGTTTATATCTTTAAAAATATCATAAATTGACAAAATACAATATAATTTCTAAATTATTGACATTTTTAAAGATATAAGCTCATCCTGACATTAGACTCATCAAGACCTTTCATTTGAGTACCCACATCAATTTTTCATATATTTTATATATTTATATATATTATATATATGTTTATATGAAAAATATATCAAAAATGCATGTGGGTACTCAAATGAAAGCTCTTGATGAGAGTAACATCAGGATGAGCTTATATATTTAAAAACGTTAATATTTAAGAAAGTGCAGTGCAATTTAACAAAAGTCATAGTAGATCTTTTTTCTAGGGATTTATAATTAATAAAAAATAAAAAATAATAATATTTACAATGGACTTTGAGGAACTGGAACATTTTCTGCTTGAGTGTTCTTGTACCAAGTTTCAGCGAACGACACCATGGCGTTAACATCATACTTGGGAATTTGATATCTGTACATTTTTCCTCTCCGGAAGCTGTAAAATTTTTTTTTCCAAAATAAGTTATTAAGTTACTTTTATTTTATTTTCAGTTTAAATACAAATAACTCACAGAATCAATTCCGGAACATCGTAGACGCTGAATCTCCTAGCAGTAGCAGCTCCAGAGGTATGTTTGTTAACCCTTGCTGTATTTATTCTGCGTTTTATTTTAGCGCCTACTGCTTCCCATCTTGCCCCTAGGCGCTGACATTCTACGCAATTGTCACTGTAACTATTCAATAAATTTTTATAAAAAATAATAAATTCCAATTAAACAAAAAAAAAATACTTACAACATAACAAACCAATCCCCAGTAGTAGCTCCAGTACTGACCTGGGTCAAATGTTCAAAAGTTTCATCAGTAAGTTCTCTGACAATCGGCTCCCTATTGTCAAAGAAAGTTTCAAAAATTTCCCTGTCATCCAGAGGACCTTAAAAAAATTAAGAATTTTTTTTTATACAAAATTAAATTAAATAATTATTAATAATTAAGTAATTTTTTTATTAATCAATTTATTTAATTATTAATTTTTTTATTAATTAATTTATTTGATTATTAATTTTTATATTAATTTATAAATTAATTTATTTAAAATTACCATTGTAGAGAAGGGGAACGCTGTTCCTAAAAAATACCAACGCAGGTTCCTCATTCGGAGTGTACAATTTTCTTAAATAACTATTAGGAACCTTGACAACCCAAGCTGAAAGTGAATCAACTAATTCATCACGCAGTCCAATTAATTCTTCTTCCCAATTTTTGCATTCTTTACAGTCATCTTTAGCTGAAAAATTTAGTAAGTAAATTTTAATTTTTTATTTTAATAAAAAAAATTAATTAATTTAAAAAAAAATTTTTTTTTATCTAATTTATTTTATTTAATCTTATTATTTATTTTATTTTATTTAATAGTTAGGGTAAATGCACCAGTTGTTGACCGGTCACCAATTAGTTGACCGATGTATAAAAAAGTTAATTAATTAATATTTTACAAGGGTTTTTTTTTCTTAAAGTATTAAAATAAAAAAATATGGCATTTAATCATCATAATAAAAAATTACGCAATTAATTGCGCAGTGATTATAGCTTTAAAAAAATATTCTGAGTTTGTTTACAACGCAACCAGCCATAAAGCGGTCAAAAATAACTAGCGTACAATTGGAGAGTGAGGGCATTTCATCATTAATTTAGTGATATTTATCGACATAATATAAAATATTTT